TCAAGAACCAACGGTATTGAAAGAAGTTTAAACTGCACTAAAGGCATTGGCGAAAAACAAGGCTCCAGGAATTGATGGAATACCCATTGAGATGTTTGAACAAATGGATGCCTTGCTGGAAGCACTCACTAGGCTGTGCAAGAAATTTGGGAGACAGCTACCTTGCCAACTGACTGGAAGAGATCCATATTTGTGCCCATTCCAAAGAAAGGTGATCCCACAGAATGTGGAAATTACCGAACATTATCATTGATATCACACACAAGTAAAATCTTAGTGAAGATAATTCAAAAATGGTTGCAGCAGTACATTGACAGAGAATTTCCAGAAATTCAGAAGAGGACATGGAGTGAGGAATATCATAGCTGATGTCAGATGGATCTTGGCTCAAAGCAAAGAATACCGGAAAGATATTTACTTGTGTTTTATTGACTATGAAAAGTTCATTTGATAGTGTGGAACATAACAAATTGTGGATAACATTGAGAAGAATGGGAATTCTAGAATACTTAATTGTACTCATGAGGAACCTGTACATAGACCAGGAGGCTGTTGTTCGAACAGGACAAAGGGATACTGCAGGGTTTAAAATCAAAAAGGGAATGAGTCAGGGCTGTATCTTTTCACCATATTTATTCAATCTGTATGCTGAAGAAATAGTTGGAGAAGTGGACTATATGAAGAAGAACATGGCATCAGGATTGAAGGAAGGCTCATTAACAACCTGAGATATGCAGATGACACAACTTTGCTTGCTGAAAGTGAGGATGACTTGGAGCACTTACTTATGAAGATTAAAGACAACAGTCTGCAATATGGATTACACCTCAACATAAAGAAAACAAAAATCCTCACAAGTGGACCAATAAGCAGCATCATGATAGACAGAAAAAAATTGACATTGTCAAAGATTTCATATTACTTGATTCTATAATCAACGCCAATGGAAGCAGTAGTCAAGGCATCAAAAGACATATTGCTTGGGCAAATCTGTTGCAAAAGACCTCTTTCAAGTGTTGAAGGGCAAAGATGTCTCCTTGAAGACTAAGGTATGCATAACCCAAGCCATGTTATTTTCCATCACCTTGTGTGTATGTGAGAGCTGGACAATGAATAAGGAAGACTGAAGAAGAGTTGGTGCTTTTGAGTCATGGTGTTGGCAAAGAATGCTGAAAGTACCAATGACTGCTAAAAGAACTAACAAATTTATCCTGGAAGAAGTGCAGCCAAAATGCTGCTTGGAAGCAAGAATGGCCAGACTTTGTCTCATCTACTCTGGTCATGTTATCAGAAGGGACCATTCTCTGGAAAAGGCTGTCATGCTTGGTAAAGTGGAGGGTCAATGAAAGAGGGGAAGACCCTTAACAAGGTGAATTGACACAGTGGCTGCAGCAATGGGCTCAGCTATAGTAGGGATCATGAGGCCAGCATAGGACTGGGCAGTATTTCATTCTGTTTGTACATAAGGTCGCTATGAGTCAGAGACAACTCAACGGCACATAACAACAACAACAACTATGGCTGCTTTCATGTTACCATGGCAGAGATGGGTAGTATCACAGAAACCCTGTGGCCCAGGAAGCTCAAAATATTTACAATCTGGCTCTTCAGAAAGTTTGCTGACTCCTGCCCTAAGTTTCTGCATACCATTGCCTACCAATTTTTTCTTGGCCAGTATTTTGATTTATTCTACTTTTTGCTCATCCTCATCCTCCTTCTTCCATGTTCTACACAAGTGCCAATCTTTCTTTTGAATATGTCTGTAAGGCAACAAGTTCATTTCAGAAGGAAAAAAAGAAAAACAGCAGTTTCCCCTTTTTTCTGCTGTTGCTGCCATCTTGTGTTGGTATAATATCATTAAACCAAGCAATATAGGCCTTTATGTGACTGAACAATCTTACGATTTCCTTGCTTGAGGAGATGTGAGTTTGCCTTAATACTATTAGAAAATTTCTGGACCACTAAAAGTGGCAAACGAAGTTAGAGGTAAAGCTAAAAAAATTGTTCATACATCTGCCTATTCTAGATATTTCATAAGGATGGGAATTACAGAGACCAGAATTTATTAGTGGTTAGCAGGAATAGGAGGGAAGAGGAAAGAGAGAATCATTGCTTTGAGGGCTCTGAGCTTCTTTATAAGGGAGGGAAGAAATTTTCAAGAGATAGTGGTAAGGTAACGTCACTAAATTATATATGGAAAAAATGCTGAAATGGCAAATGTTTGTTTGATATATATGTACTCTAAAAAAATACTTATTGCCATTGAATCGGTTACAATTCATAGCAACCCTAAAGGACAGAGTAGAACTACCCCATAGGGTTTGTTGTTAGGTGCCATCGAGTCGCCTGCAACTCACAGCGACCCTATGCACAGCAGAACAAAACACTGCCAGGTCCTGCTCCAGCTCCACAACCCTTGCTATATTTGAGCCCATTGCTGCGCCAGCTCCACAACCCTTGCTATATTTGAGCCCATTGCTGCAGCCACTGGGTCAATCCATCTCGTTGAGGGCCTTCCCCTCTTTCGCCGACCCTCCACCTTACCAAGCATGACATCCTTCTCCAGGGAATGATCCCTTCTGATAACATGACCAAAGTATGTGAGATGAAGTCTGCCCATTCTTGCTTCCAAGGAGCATTCTGGCTGCACTTCCTCCAGGACAGATTTGTTAGTTCTTTTAGCAGTCCATGGTACTTTCAGCATTTTTCACCAGCATGACAACTCAAAAGCATCAATTCTTCTTCGGTCTTCCTTATTCATTGTCCAGCTCTCATATGCAAATGAGGTGATTGAAATATCATACTTGGGTCAGGTGCACCTTAGTCCTCAAGGAGACATCTTTGCTCTTCAGCACTTGAAAGATGTCCTTTGCAGCTGATTTACCCAGCACTATACGTCTTCGTCTGATGTCCTAACTGCCGCTTCTATTGGCGACGATTGTAGAACCAAGCCCCATAGGGTTTATAAAGCTGTAAATCTTAATGGAAACAGATTGCCACATCTTTATTCTGCAGAGCAGCTGATGGATTTGAACCACTGACCTTTCAGTTATCAGCCAAGGGCTTTAACCAGTGCACCAGCAGGGATATATATACATATATAAACAATATAAACATATATATGTGTGTGTGTGTGTGTGTATACCACAATAAAATAAATAATTAATGATAATAAAATTATTTTCATGGAAAGCTAGGAAATTTAACTCATCTGTCCAATTTGTTTGCTATAAAATCATTCATAGAAAAAATTACAAGGAAAAAAACTAAATATTGGGTTGTTATTTCCAGGTTAGTAAGTTTTTCTCTGCTTTATGGTTTTCTGTATTTTCTAAATTTTTAATAAAGGCTATGTCAGAAATTTTTTAAAGATTGTTGATTATTTTATTTTGGGTTAGAAAAATCCAGAAATATACAATAAAGGAACTAAAGTCACCCTAATTCTCATTATCCCAAGATAGCCTTTATTCCAATTTTGTTGTATTTTCATTGAGGTTTTTATTCATTTATTTATTCTTGCTTGTTTATGTAAAGGGTGATTGATAATGAGTTTTGCAAAACTGATAGTCTATGAAATTTCAAAGTCTGGCTTTTTAAATTTTCATTTGGAGAGTCTTTTCTTAGGTCAATATAAGTGTTCCAAATATTTTTTGTTGGTGGCAAAATATTTATCACTTATATTTATAGTAAGAAGAAAAAGAATATTTTAGATAAGCTTGTGAATCATCATTCACCCCTGAAAAGAAATGCCCACATTTGCCCAAAGAATGGACCAAATGGTACAGACACCAAGTGCTTCTGGCATTTCTGGTGGCCTAAGATTCTTGTAAGGAAATCTCGTGGTGTAGTGGTTAAGGCATTTACCTGTTAACCAAAATGTCAGTGGGTGGTCCAAACTCATCAGCTTCTCCACAGGAGGAAGATGAGGTAGTCCTATGGGTCAAGTCTACTGTGTCCAAAAAAGGGTCGCTATGAGTCGGAATCAACTTGATAGCAGTGGGTTTGTTTTTTTTTTTAGTTTTAAGGTTCTGGTAATGTGAAGCAGTAGTATAAAGAAAATAACAAGGTCCAGGGTGATTTGGGGTTGATAAAAGATTAAAATTGCTAACATATTTGTTGTTGTTGTTATGTGTCGTCAAGTTGGACCTAACTCATAGCGACCCCTCCTTGGGTTTCCGAGGCAGTATCACTAAGGAAGTAGATTGCTGGGTTTGAACCGCCAGCCTTCTGGTTAGCAGTCAAGTGCCTTAAGCACTATGCTACCATGTGAAAGTATCTTAAGTGATTTTCAGTAATTGTCATGACTTGGTATTTGCTCCCTGATTCCCCAGAAAATCTGTTAGGTAAGGTGCAATAGAACTTTCTAACTCAAACTCACCCTCTCAAAGCTGTGATGACAACAACTTACCACCCTTAATCCTCATCTCCCAACTGTCTTTTAATGTCTGACTATCTTCTTGTATAGCTAGACACCTTTATTCTAGTTTTTCTAGAAACTTAAATGTGTACAACCATAACCTTGATTCTCTGGAGATATCCATATAGTATGTTTTATTTTCATTTAACTATATTCAGGCTTCCTAAGATGAAAAATAGAACTCAAGTCCTATATTTATATTTCTTAAGATAGAGTATAGAACAAGTAATGAGGCATATGGGATGCTTTGGGCCAACAGCTCTCAAATTATATGAGTTGAATAAGGTATTCCAACTCTGACATTTTAAAAAAGGTACAGGTAAGGCAACCATCCCAACTTTATAACAAAATTAGAAAAAAATTCAACTTCAAGTTTAATCTATGCAAAACTTCCTGGTAATGGAAGAGGGGCATATTCTTGAGTAGCAATTGAAAATATCCTCTTTGTGCCTGTCAAGTGCATACATGGATTTAAATGAGAATAAAGCCAACTTCTTGCTGTGTAAGGGAATGAATCATAGTTTTAAAAAAATGCATTAAAAGACCAGCTCCCACAGGCAGGTGAAGTTATGGTAGAACTTACCAGGTAGTCTCTGGCATATATAGCCTCGCTTACTGTCACAAGTATCATCCATCCATTTCCCTGCATCCCTTGATTTGCCTCCAATAATAACAACACAATCAGCCTGTGTGTTTATGGAGAAAGTAAAAGAAAAATATGAATCAGCATTGATTTAAATCAATTCTTTAATAAAATTTTTAAAAATCCCTCATTATCTACCTTCAAATTTTAAGACCTTCCAAATTAATTTCTAATATGTTAAATTCATCGTTATATTTTATGCATCTATACCCACTTTCTATGTGATGCCTTGCTTCTGAACTCTCGTTATCTCAATTAAAAAAATAAAAAGGTTTGGATAAATTTTGGAAATAGATCTGAGATCCCTTGCAGTCAGATGTTATTAACCACTATCAGAACTTGGGAAACAAATAGATTAGGATAACACTGCATCCTCTCTATATGAACTCTCACTATCCAAACCCAGAAATATAGTTAATATTTTTCATTGCTAACTTAATTTATAAACATATTATTATCGGTTCATGGTTAATTGCTAGTATGGTTTGAAAACCATATAAAGATGACCCTTATAATCTTACACAGGAAGACTGGGAAAAAATTCGGTTTTTTGGTTGCGAGTATGTTTACAATTTCAAGCTTCCATAGGATAGTCTATAAGCTAAAAAGGAGCAAAAAAGACACAGAACTTGCACCCACCAGAATTTTCATGCCATGTCAGAGGAAGACTTTGATTATATCATATGTTGGGTTCTTTTCACCTAGCAGTTATTATAATCATATCATATACTTAAAACATCTGACACTGTTAAGTGTTTTACATGTATATTTAACCTCTCACTCGTCCTATGAGATATTACTACAATTATTTACATTTTAGAGATGGGAAAACTGAGGCACTTGCATGTTAAATAACTTTCCCAAGGCCATACAGCTAATAAGTAAAAGAGTTATGATTTAAATCCCAGGCGTACACGTTATCAGCCAACACCTTAACCATTGTAGTATATTGCTTTTTCTTGAGTGAGGGATGTAAGATATGTGGGGACAGAAATGCTCCTAGGAAACGTTTTCTTGTTGATAGAGAGCCATGATTGATATTAAGGTTAGATATTTTCCTGAATGGAGGCGATGCCTGGAACTTGTATATTTGCCATGCAATAATGAAGAGAGCTAAGCCAGCATGCCAAGGACACAGAGCAGGAAGACAGAAAGAACATGGATCCTTGATAAAGTTGTTGGGTCACATACCATATTTTATCAATTTTAAGATACACATTTCTCATATGTTAACAATTCTAAAATAAAAGATGCATATCATAATCAATAACAAGTCAGAGTTTGATTGGCAAGGCCTTTTTATATTACATAAAATAATGGTGAGTTTTTCACTCAATGACATGCTGAGACTCAATGAAATATGGAACTTAACCTCTGTGACTTTAGATGGTTTGTCATGTGAGATCAAATAACTATCTTACTGCTTAAATGATTAAGTTGTCATTTTCTGGTATATACAGCTGAGAGTTCAGAAGGAAGTTTGGGCAATTTGCTTCCATAATGATACCACTTTGGAAACCCAAGGAGGGGTCACTATGAGTGAGATCCAATTCCATGGTAGTGGGTTTGGTTTTTTTTTTTTTTTTGTATTGCTGAGAGTGTCAGTCTGGATATACACCTGACCTTTCATAGAACGAAGCTGCTGCTACGACTGCCTAGCCATATGGGTGATTAATGCATGGACACAGTGACCAGCTTCTGGGAATTTCCTACAAGTACAAGTCTACAAATCACTCCAATAGCCACACCTGGCCCAACTCAGCAGGAATTGATCAGTTAAGTTTCACCTCTATGTCCCTATGTGCCTTACTTTTGAAACTTGATATACATAAAATACATACTGAAAATATGCACACGTCCTTCTCCTCTGTCTCCTTTGTGTGTGTCTGTGTGTCATACCCCATCAAATATTCATTTTGGGGGGTACGTTTACTCCATTTTCATGTACACTAATATATTCTTAATCTCTTTGTCTCACTCAGATGCACTTAACCTACAAGGTGACAGACATTTCTTTTCTTAGTGTGCTAAAGCCTGTTCTTTATGCATAGTAGAATGCCATTACACTTTGTTTCCATACATAAAGCTATTACTCTACCAAAAAAAAAATAAGCAAAAAAAAATTCACTGCCATTGAGTTGGATCCAACTCATACCAACTCCTCCTTGGGTTTCTGAGGCAGCATCACTACAGAAGTAGATTGCCCAACCTTCCTTCTGAGGAGTGGCTGGTGGGTTTGAACTGCTAGCCTTCTGGTTAGCAGTCTAATGCCTTAGGCACTATGCCACCAGAGCTCCTACCAGGGGTCATCAATTTACGACCGGAGGTCCACCATTTGCTTTTGTAAATAAAGTATAATTGGAGCACAGTCACACTCTACTATCCATGCACTGCCTGTGGCTGCTTTCTTACTACAATGGTGAGTAGTTCCAACAGAGACCTGATGGCCTGCAAACCAAAACAACTTGCTGTTCAGTAGATTCTGACTCAGGATGACCCCATGTGTGTCAGAATAGAACTATGTTCAAAAGGGTTTTCAATGGCTAATTTTTTACAAGTAGATCACCAGGCCTTTCTTCCAAGCTTTCTCTGTGTAGACTCAACCCTCCAACCTTTCAGTTAGCAGCTGAGCATGTTCATCATTTCTACCATCAAGGACTCCAAGCCTAACTTACTTACTTCTTCTTTTTTTCCCCCACACACAAACAGGTTTTGGGTTATAAGTGCCTAAGGCACTTGACTGCTAACTAGAAGGCTAGCGGTTCAAACCCACCAGCCACTCCCTGGAAGGAAGGTTGGGCAATCTACTTCTGTAGTGATACTGCCTCGGAAACCTAAGGAGGGGCTGCTATGAGCCAGGTCCGACTCGACGGCACATAACAACAACAATAAAAAAAGAAGAGAATTACATTATAATCTTACCAAATTTTGATTTATCTCCTGGCAAACTAGGCAAACTAATTTTTCCTCCTTTTTATTCGTGAGAGCAAAAATGATTGTTGCTTTTTTTTTCCCCCTGCTCCACAGTTCCAAGCCAAACTTACATTAGCTGGTTTGCCAACCTCTGATATCCACCTCAACCGAAAGGCAATGGTTGCACTTTTGCCTTTTTACAATTTTTTTGAAATCTTTTATTCAAGTGTTATCTAAATCAAGTTCATTATGTTTCTCCAAAAACTTTCATCCCTTCCATTTTGACTCACATATCTGATCCATCTGGTCCAATTATATCTGGTCCTGATTGAGAAGAGGTAGCAGACTTATTTCAAGATACAGCAGCAATCTAATCTGAATTGTGCCCTTTTGTTCATTTAAAGTAAGATAATGGGGCCCGACCAGGCTAACTGGTCTGATAGAGACTGGTGAAACTCCTGAAACTATGACCCAGAAATGAACTAACCCCAGTGGCTCAACTTTTAGCCAAACAATAGATAGGAGCTCTGGTAGCATAGTGGCTAAAGCACTTGACTGCTAACCAGAAGGCTGGCGGTTCAAACCCACCAGCCACTCCTCGGAAGGAAGGTTGGGCAATCCTACTTCTGTAGTGATACTGCCTCGGAAACCCAAGGAGGGGTCGCTATGAGTCGGGGCCGACTCGACGGCACACAACAACAACAACAACAACAACAACATGAAGTAAACTATAAAACCAGGGAAGTGTGTATTCCTTAGAACAATCACCCATAAGAGATCAAAAGGGCAGCATTCACTGAGTAATGGAGCTGAGAAGGTAGGAATGGATAGGAAAGAAGGACAAACGGAGATGGTAATCAGTGGGAAGAGTGCTGCTACATTGTGGGGATTGCAATCAATGTCATGAAATAAAATGTGCATGAATTGTTCAATGGAAAACCAATTTACTCTGTAAACTTTCACCCAAATCGCATTGAAAAGTTAAAATAAAGAGAGAGAGAGAGAGAGAGAGAGAGAATGGGACCTAGGGAGAGGTCATTAGGGTAACCAGAAATAAAGATAGTATAAACTTTATAAAGTCATTCCACTCTTTCACAACTGGAATCCCAATATTTCATTGTGTTTAATTTTATAATTGTTTTCTATTTATGGTGAATAATACCAGTTTTCTACTTTTTCTGTTAAGTTTCTTTTAAAATAAATTTATACCAAAAGAGAGAGAGAAGAGTAGATTTAAAAACATAAGTCAATAACAATATAGAATGTTGTTCTTGTGTGCCCTCCAATTGATTCCAACTCACAGTGACCATATGCAAACAGAGTAGAACTGCCTCATAAGGTTTTCTAGGCTGAAATCTTTACAGGAACAGATTGACATGTCTTTTCTCCTGTAGAACTGTTGGTGAGTTCAAACCACTGACCTTTCTGATAGCAGCTAAGCAATTAACCATTGTACCAGCAGGGCTCCATACAGTATGTAATAGTGATACACAAAACCAGCAAAAACTGGAGAAACTGGAGCTTGGGAAGCACAGTTTTAGCCCTGAGCCACAACTCTCTTAAGCCTGTACTACAGCTCCAATCATCCCTGCTTCCTTGCCTCCAGCCTCCTTACCCCATGAGCCCCAACTATCAGGTACCCTGTCTGTATTTCAAAGATTCTCCATTCATTCCCATCTCCCTTCTTAACTATCCTTATCTTCCATTATCTTTCTCAGAGTTTGTGCTCTGCTCAAGAAAACCTTTACAGAACAACTTTGATGCCACCACTAATCAAGGACAAAAGGTTCATTCCTTATTCTTATTATCTATCAAACAGTATTTAGTTCTTCCCTCCTTTCTAGTCATGAAATTTTAACAAAACAGTATGTTTGCTTTGATTTTATTTCAATATAAACTATATATTTACTTGCATCAATAAAAAGTCTAAAAGTAAATTCAACAAAAAGTCAACAGTGGTTATTACTTCTGGAAAGTAAAATTACAGATTTTGTTAGTTTCCCACTTCCCTAATGTTCAAAAAAAAAAAAAAAACTTGTACAATAATGATTTATTTTTTGTTTTACATAAAAATCACCTCTCGGGAATACAGGGCAAGATGGCAGAATTGGCAGAAAGACTGCACAGATC